TAAAGTTCTTTGTCAAATTAGCAAATCAATGACAACTTATGGACATAAAAAGCGGAATTAATAATTTCATTTTAGGAGATAAAAAAAGGTTTATTGTTCAGAGTTCTTAACTCTGAAGGTTATATTTTCAGAAGTGATGTGAAAATATATTTCTAATGGCAAAATATATTAACATGAAATAATTATAGTAGACTTATCTCAAGGTGTTAAGAAGAGGTTGGAAGATGAACTAAATGGGAGATTAAATAAATAGTATAGTGTCTTGAAAACTTTAACTTGGCTGCAACCCCAGAGATCATCTGGCATTTATTCCATTAGTATTAAACTCAGGGAAACTGGAGTTAGAAGAATACCTTCAAACATCACAAAGCTTTCATTTTCTATGAAAAACCATTTTCATAGTGAGGCATCTACCCTATAGACGATGTGGATTCACTGAAGGTTTTGAAACTGTTTTTTTCAAATAGCCCAATCATAATTGTTCAGAATCTGATGATCTTTCAGTGACCTGAGGATCAATTCTCTGTGGAGATCTTTGAGGCCAATTAGGAGTCTCTGGTGATGTGTTAGATCGGAGGTCATTAAACGCCCAGACAAAGGTGACGTCCAAAGAAATGACAAGAACGTGGCAGGTATTGAAGATAGTATCACCCAGAGTGTTGCGTTCGCCTCTACTAACTGCTCATGCTGTTTAACTTCTCGTATGCTTCAGGATCCGAAAAATGGAATTAAACTGGATTATCTCTAACAGCTCTGGTATGTATGACTGAAATGAACATTTAAGAGTTGGAAGAGAATGTTGAGACATATTGCAGTGGGGCATGAATGCCTCCGTGGTAAATTCTAGCGTTCTGGTGGGAAACCTGAGTTCAATTCCTGAATGCACGTCAGGTGCAAGCACGCCCGCGTGTTAGAGGAAGTCCACATGCTGCCATGATCCGAACAGCTTTCAGCAGAGGTCTGAGAAGAGCTTTCAGGTGACAATAAAGTCGGAAGAAGATTTCGTGATGTATTTCCAAAAATCCAAACGAAAACTGACCGTGGAGATAACACAAGACCTGGCAGCGTTCCGTTCCATTCTGCGTGTGGTCACTGCGAGTTGTGGGTTGCGGTGCACCAGGGCAGCTGACGATAAAAGTGACAAGAACTGTGTTGCAGATCACATGTCTCCTCCAAAAATATGTCCTGCATGTCCAACCCATGGCAGACCGGTCTTGTTCTTTCTCTTACGAATTTAAGAATAAAACAGAGGCTGAGAATGGGCATAGGCAGCTAAATCATATGAGTGGTACCCATTACCATTGCAGGAGCCCTGCTGGCATAGTGGGTGACATTTGGACTGCTAAATGTAAGGTCAGTAGTTTGAACCCGCCAGGTTCTCTAAGGGAGAACAATGAGGCTTTCTGTGCCAATAAAGAGTTCTAGCCGTGTGACCCCAGGCAAATATGTCTACCCTGTCCTAAGGGTGGCACTGAGTCGGAGGCCACTCCCTGGCAGCGGGTTTAGTTGGTGGTATTAGCACTGAGCTGATTCCGACTCAGGCCAAGCCGATAGGACAGAGTGGAACTGCCCCCTTCGGGTTCCTGAGGCTGTCAATCTTTCTGGACACAAACTGGCACGTGTTTCTCTTTTAGAGCAGCCAGTGGGTTCCATGTATGGAGCTTTTGGCTAGCAGCCAAGCACTTTAATGACTGCGATGACAGGTTCTATAGTAGTGGTGGCAATCTAAATTCTGTGAACTTTTGCTGCTTAGGGACTAGTTTCCTGAGGGCTAATCATTTAAAAATTGTTGGCATCCACAAGCTATGCTAGGATCGTCTGGGTAACATGCTCTCTCTCTCTTTGGGGGTGTGAATTTTTGGAACTAGTTTGGCTGTTATTAAGGCCCATCTAGTCAATTCTGACGCCTAGCGACCTTTTGTCCAAGAGAATGAAACACTGGCCAGTCCTGCAGCATCCTCACCATCGTTCCTGTTCTTGAGCTATTATTGCAGCCACAGGGTCCGTCCATCTCCTGGAGGGCGGTCCTCTTTTGCCTTGCTCCTCACCTTTACCAAGCAAGATAGCATTCCCAGGAGAGACCTGACAACATGTCCAAAGCATGTCAGATAAAGCCTGCAATCCTTGCCTCTAAGGCGAATGCTAGCTGTCCTTCTAAGACTGATTGCTTTGCCCTTTCAGCTGTACTTTCAAACTTCTTCTCCAGACCACAATTCAAATGCATTGATTCTTTCTTTATTCAATGTCCACCTTTTCAAATAATTTTACTGACGTATAATTCATGTATCATACACACCACAGTTCAATCATGCTAAGAAGAGCTGTGTAATCACCACCACAATCC